ACGGTGTCTTATAATAAAGATTAAAGGAATAAATTGTACTAATCTATATACTCATTCTTAACCATCAATTTCTTATAAACAGTGTCTTATAATAAAGATTAAAGGAAGTAATAATTTTTTTCAAAAAATTAAAAAAACTTAATATACACAATATAAGAGTTAATAAACTACATATACATTTGATAATTCTATATTATCTAATAATCATTGGAAAATATTAGAACTATTAAGATTAACATAGTAATAAGAGAATAAAGTAATAAATACAAAAAATTAATTTTAAATTTTAGTGTCATCATTATAAATTTTTTGTCGATAAAAAAAAAAGTAAGTACGTTATTTTATGATGTTTAAGTTTTGTTTCTTATTCCACTGTAGGGTCTATAAAAAATGTTTTTTATGCATTAAAATTAATTTGTATCCTTTAATTTTTATAAATTCTTAATTTGATTTTTTAAGTGCATAAATTACTATTAATTTTCAGAGAAACTGAAATGCAACTTTCAGAGACTGTTTAGTATTTTTTTTTATATATAAACAATGAATTTAATGATTTTTTCGAGTGATCAAAATAAATCTTTATAAAAACAATAATTGAGTACAGTAGTAACTAATACCTGAACTGCTTTTTCAGTGGAGGGCTTAAAAGACGCATAATTTGTGATAATTAAAGACTTAATTATATCACTTTATATATATATATATATATATATATATAATCGTATTAAGTGCTGTAAGGTTTTCTATAAAAATTAGACAAATAAAGTCAATAGTCAATACTCACCATTTATTTAAAGACTTTTATAGATAAAAATATAAAATGAGTGATGCATTTAGAATGATTAATGATTTCAAGAGATTGATAGAGTGAAATATGGAAATATCTTACATTCGAAAAGTAATAAATTTGAATTCTAGCTATCTTTTTGAAGGAGGGGTATATACAAGTTCTATAAAAATACTCTGAAATTTAAAGATATATATATTATTTTTCATCTTGGACTGAGATATTATTTTTTTTCTAAAAAAAATAAAAAAGGATGAATAATTTTAAAAAGACAATACTATTTAGTGAAAATATAAATTTTCGATCGAGGGAACAAAAATAATTCATGCGTGACATTCACTGAAAAATGATAAACAATTAGCCAACATACAATAGCAAAGTCAACAGAGAAATATGATTAAAGTTATAAGTAGTAATGAAGATGACTAAGGACTTTATTCAATCAATGAAGCAAGAGATGCACAATTTTTATATAAACTGTGACTAGAACCACGTTTTCTTTAAAAAAAATAAAATTAAATCAAAGTCAATAAATTCCATTTGATGCACTAATGTTTGTAAAGATCTAAAGAAATAAATGAAAAATAAAAGTTGAAAGAAATTGATAAAATTAAAAAAGTTAATAGAAATAGAAAAAAAATTATTTGGTATAAAAAAATAAGAATAAAATAAATAAAAGGTTTTAAAATATTTTTTAAATAAAATAATCAATTTAAAATAATTTCACATATAGAAAAAGTGATAATCAATTAAGAGAAGTGACAATTACCAACGTAAAGTATTTGACGTTTCTTGATCATTTGTCACCATGTGTAAATAAAACGAGGCGAATTCACCACATTTTTTTTCTCCCTAACTTATATAATGTTATCATCGCTTCCTCTTCTCCATCTGTCTCTTTGCTATTCCTATCGGGAAAAATCAAAGTCTCATATCGACTAGAGATTAGATAATTAAATAGTATATAAGTAGAAAACAACCCTCACCTTTTAAGTTGATTTTGTAAGATTGAGTTAGGCTAAATCCACTATACATTTATCCACGTACCAAATCAAATAGTACTAAATATGAGGAGAGTGTAGTTAGGAGTTTCAATCACTTAGAACAATAGATGGCTAATATTTGAATTTTGATTTTGATGATTATGATTTTGAAATTAGATGCGATTTATTTCGGTTTGGCTTTAGATTATATTTTGTATCTAATTTAGTTTAGAGGAAGGTTCAAACGACACCGGTGCAACTTTAACTAAGTGTTACACCACTCAATAACTTTATATTAAATGTGAATTTTGAAAATCCAACCGTTGGATTGAAAGTTCATATCTCTTAGATCATATATGTCAAATTTTGTTAAAATTGAACAACAACTTGAAGGTAATCAAAGTGTTCATATTTTAGTATATTTTGAAATGTATATATTAATAAAGAAAATATTTGATTTAATTGATAATATTTTATATAATATAATATTATGTTATAATGATATTATTTATTTATATAAATATAATTTATTTTACATTTCTCATACCCTACAACTTAATTATACATTATTATTTAGTAAAATCTATGGAAAAAAAAATCTCCTCACCTTCCAAATTGACATTAAATAAGAAGAAACGAGTTGTTTTATCCTCGTTTGTTTAAATTATTTTAGTTTCTTAAAAAATAATAATTTAATGTAAAAAGTTAAAATAATAAATAAATTTATATTTTAGAAAAATTAATATATTAAACAGTTTTTGTCAGTAATTATTTTTTTTTACAATTTTTTCTGTCTTTATTTTATTCTTATTTCTATTCATATAGACAACTTATTATATTTATTTAATTTTTTACTTTTATTTTTATTTTCTCTCTCTTGTTTTTAATCTAAAAAGAGAAAAGGCAAATAATAATTCCCTTGTCTGTCTTTGAATAAAAATAAAAGAAAAGAAGTGGACAAATGTACAAAACAAAATTGGAAAATGTCAAATTTAGGTCTGAACATGTTTGTCAGCGCAAGACGTAAACAACATAGAATAAAGCAAAACTAAGAGTCGTCACAATCGCAAATTCGCGCGGGACCCACTCAACAGAGTTCTGCTTGCATAACACTATCGCAAACAAATTCCATCTTACTTTAATTCATTCTTTACCTATTTACTCGGCTCCTGTCTACTCTTATCTTTCAAATAATTCTATTTACTTTTTATTTTTATTTTTATTTTTATTTTTATATCAAACTAGTAGAAGGATTATTGTTATTAATTATTTGTTAACACTGAATTTATTTTCTAATCCGATATCTTAAAAAAATATTTTCATACCAAGACGTTTTAATGATTTAATTTAAAGGTCTCTTACCTCAAGTGTTAATTATATTACATATCCAACACTAAAAATCTTTACACTAAATTTATTAAAGGTCTCATACATTAATATTTATAATTATAATCATCAGAAGACGAAAATTATAATTATATTAAATTTTTTAATAGTAACAAATTATTTCTCTAAGTGTTATAATTATTAAACTCAATTTGCTTAAGTTAGAACTCAGGTTCGAATTTTATGTATGAAAAAAAAAATCTTATTAAAAAAGAAATCTCACTTAAAGATGATGAATCAAATCTTTCAATAAAAATTAATAATTAAAAAAGAAATTGGATATTCTATACTAACAATTAAAAAAATATCAGAATTTTAATACGTTAAACTTAGTGTTCTATAAACACTTGTATATATAATTAAAAATAATTAATAACTAATATCACGCGCGTATTTGAATTAGTTTGATTTTGTAGGATAGTTTTTGCAACAAAGATATTTTTTAATGTAAAGAAAAGCAAAATAAATGTATAAAAATCTCCTATTTTCTTTTCTCATTTATTAGATATATATCTCTAACAATAATTTTAAAGATTATTTTTGAGACGTTACATTATTAATACAAATATTTATTATTTTTAGCAATGACTAATTCATGATAAGATTTTTTTTTCTTAATTATAATTTTTTAATTTTAAAAAATTAAATTTAAGATTTTACTGAAAAAATAAATTGAAGACTTTATTTAAGGAAATAGGAATTAATTCAACTCGGAACAAAAAATTTCTCATTGTTTAATAAATAATGCTGTTTCAACTTTGCATTTCAATTTTTTTCCCATTTAAGTTTTCATCTTCTTCTGTCACAGAATCTATCTAGGTTCACATAATTTTTTTCTTTGTTATACAAACTATTGTAAATATTCTTTTTAATTAGCAATTGGAGTGCCAAAGTGTACGTAGTATCATATTTAATTTTATCATTATCTCTGTCCTCATTTTCTATTTTTTATGGGTTAGGTTGGATTAATTGAATTTTCAACACTAAAACTTAATATTTAGTTTAAAAAACGAAAAAGTTTATTTGAGGCAAGTTAAATTTTACTTTAGCACTTTAAAAACTCAGAGTAGGTATGTTTATGTTCAAAGATATCTATATCCGTCAACACTTCCAAATATAAAAAAGATAATTGATGTTAATTTGTCTTTATTATCCACTCAACTCAATCACACACAAATTTATGTAAAAAAATAACAAATCCTACATTGACAACAAGATTTCAAATTTCATCTATATGAAATTTAAATTAATACACAATTAAAATATTAGAGAACTAAATTCACATAAAATAAAAATAAAAATTAAATGAAAGCTATCAAATTTAAATTTTGAAAATAAAAAAGTACACAAAATTAATTAAACTATTTTTCTCAATCAAATAGTTTTTGTGTATTTAAAAACAGTAGAGTTGAACTTAATTGAAGATGAAAAATAAAATTACACACAAATTATTATTATTTTTTACATTAAAATATGTATTTTTTTCATTTTAAACCAATAAATAAAATTTATGGATTAGTTAATTATTATTTGAAGACATCAGATATTAGTTTGACACAATTATTATTGTTATGATATGAAGTGGCTTATGAACTTTGATAAGCCCAAGGAAGGGGTTCCTTGAAGATTAGGGAGATAGAATTTGTGTTAGGACTTAGGAACAACACATTGCTACTTATCTACGAATAAACAAAAGAATAAATGAACTGGCTGTGCAGTGGCCATGTGCGCATTTGCGATCAATCCAATAATAGAATGCCACATGAATTTTCCATTAGTCAGGCAATTGCGAGTGTATAAATTTAGAGTTAATCACGTGTAAATAATTTTTTTATATTAAGAGTGTATAAATGATTAAAGAAAGTAGTAATAAAGAAAGAAAAAGAAAATGAGAGTGGTGAATATCTCCGGAGGTCAACTGGAAGATAGAGGTGTCTAATCGCGTATTCCATTAGTCAGGCAATTGCGAATGGCAAATGTGTGTTGTGTGGGCATTGCAGGGGAAGTTTGGGGGCAACCATAATCCAACAATCCCTGAGACATACAACAGAATGAAGACGCCAACGCCGGAGCCTGCCGCTTCTAATCCATGCCAAGGTCATCTCTCTCTCTCTTTTGAGGTATTCGATTTGATTAGGTTTAAGGTTTAAGGTTTAAGGTTTAAGGTTTCCTTTCCTAAGAAAGAAGGAGTTTGTTGTAGTTGCAGAGAAGAAGAGCATAAACCCAGAGCTGTGGCAAGCATGCGCGGGTCCTCTGGTCAACCTTCCTCCCTCAGGCACGCACGTCATCTACTTCCCGCAGGGCCACACCGAGCAAGTCGCAGCGTCTCTCAAGAAAGACGTGGACGCTCAAATCCCCAACTATCCCAATCTCCCCTCCAAGCTGCTATGCCTCCTTCACGGTCTCACTTTGCATGTAACTTGCTATCACCATCGCGCTTGCCCGTCTTCTGTCTTCAACAATCTCAACACTCTCTTTCTAATTTCTCCCTTTTCTCTCCCCAGGCTGATCCCGAAACCGATCAAGTATACGCGCAGATGACTCTTCAACCTGTGCCTTCCGTGAGCATCACTAATTCACAACCTCTCCTACTCTTACTTACGTTTCTAAATGCATCGTTTCCACCAACTCCCCCCTCATTGTAGGTTGACAAGGACGCTCTTTTGAGATCAGATCTCGCTCTCAAGTCCACCAAGCCCCAACCCGACTTCTTCTGCAAGCAACTCACCGCCAGCGACACCAGCACTCACGGCGGCTTCTCCGTCCCCCGTCGCGCCGCCGAGAAGATTTTCCCTCCTCTCGTGAGTCTTTTCCCCCTTTCCCAATTCCCAATTCCCACCACTCCGTTGCACCTTCTTACCTCTTTTATCTCTTCTCTTCTCTGCAGGATTATTCTATGCAACCTCCTGCTCAAGAACTCGTCGCTAGGGATTTGCACGACACCGTTTGGACATTCCGCCACATATACCGTGGTATGTTTCAACATTTTATTTAATTTCTGTATCCCGTTTCTTAATTAGAAAAATAAAATCTCATGATTCTCGCTTTCTAGGACAACCAAAGCGTCACTTGCTGACCACTGGATGGAGTCTCTTTGTCAGTGGAAAGAGGCTTTTTGCTGGAGACTCTGTTTTATTTATTAGGTCAGAATCAGACTACTAAATTCACGCCTTCCACTACTTTTACAAGCTTTTATGTATACAATAACCTTTTCAGCAAGCAACTTGTTTCGTGATTTTTAATGTTTCTGTCTCGCAGAGATGAAAAGCAGCAGCTTCTTTTGGGTATCAGACGAGCTAACAGGCAACCCGCCAACATATCATCGTCGGTGCTATCAAGTGATAGTATGCACATTGGAGTTCTTGCTGCAGCGGCTCATGCAGCTGCAAACAATAGCCCCTTCACCGTCTTTTATAATCCTAGGTCCGCTATTTTTTTCACATCCTTTCTTTTTTATTTCAGACTGTTGATATTAATTTGCTCTGTTGGATTGCCAAGGCATATATATGGGGCAGCTTTTTTGTCAAATATATTGTTAAGTTTTGAACTTGTGTCTTTCTTTTGCTTGCAGGTCTAGTCCATCGGAATTTGTTATTCCTTTAGCCAAGTACTACAAGTCTGTGTACAGCCACCAGCCGTCACTTGGCATGCGATTCCGAATGATGTTTGAAACTGAGGACTCCGGAACAAGAAGGTGCCTCACTTTTAATTCCCATGTATTGGATATATGTTTTGTAAAAAAATTGGACGACTAAGTTGAAACCAATGCCTTCACCGAGTAAACATGGGTGGTTGAATGCCATTATTGGAAGATGTAATTAGTTTTCTTGTAGTTTAGTTGGTTCTTGAATCATTGTTTATTTCTCAATCCAGATTAATTAGAATCGATATTTTATGCAGCATTAAATTAATCTTGAAAATGGTTGACGATAGAAATTAAATTAATCTGTTCAATTGTATTGCAGGTATATGGGTACAATTACAGGTATCAGTGACCTGGATCCTGTGCGATGGAAAAACTCTCAATGGCGTAGTTTGCAGGTACCATTGGTAACATCCTTTTAGCATTTTCTGAATGTAATTTCCCCCTATCTGTAAGTAGTTGAGTCCAGGAGATTATGTTTTCAGAATTTATGTCTTTGTCTTCTTTAATCTGCATAAGCAGTAGTTGTTAAGTTATAGATACCATTTCCAGGTTGGCTGGGATGAGTCAACTGCTGGAGAGAAGCGTAGCAGGGTCTCAATCTGGGAAATCGAACCAGTGACTGCTCCATTTTTCATCTGTCCACCTCCATTCTTTAGATCCAAGAGGCCAAGACAGCCTGGAATGCCTGGTATATAATTCTACTACATGCATTTTAGATGCAAAAAATGAATATATTGTTTTTTTTCTAAACCACCACCTCTTCTAGATTCTTTTATTCTTGAGTTTCTTAGTTGTTTGCTGGTGGACCTTTCATTTTATCAAATTTCCGTAAGGAGGAAAATTTGAATTTGGTTTGATGATTGGAAATCTGATGTTATCTTTGGCTCATTTTTTATTTACTTTTCGCAGATGATGAATTATCTGATTTTGATAATATTTTCAAGCGGACAATTCCTTGGATTGGGGATGATATGTGCATGAAGGATTCCCAAGGTCTCCCTGGCCTGAGCTTAGCTCAATGGATGAACATGCAGCACAATCCTGCAATGGCCAGCTCGTTGCAGCCAAATTATGTACCTTCCTTAACGGGATCTATTTTGCAAAATATCCCTGGAGCTGATATTTCTCGTCAACTGGGATTTTCTGCTCCTCAGATTTCTCAGTCAAACAATGTAGCCTTCAATACTCAGAGGCTACTTCAGACTGCTCAACAACTGGATCACCTTCAGAAGCTACCATCTACTTCCAGCGCGTTGGGAACAGTCATGCCGCCGCAGCAACAGTTGGGTGATATCACTCAACAACCGAGGCAGAAGTCGGCAAATCAAACTATCCCCCAGAGTCAAGTTCAGGCCCAACTCTTGCATCCCCAGAACATTGTACAAAGCAACAATATTCTTCAACAGCCGCAACCATCCATTCAAAACCATCAACTCCATAGAAGCCTCTCTCAGAACCCATCACAGCAGCAGCAACAGACAATTATAGGTCAGAATCAACAACAAAATTTGATCCAGTCCCCTGTACCTGATCATGTTCAACAATTACAAATGTCCGACAATCAGATTCAGCTGCAGTTGTTACAGAAGCTTCAACAACAAAAGCAAACACTCTTGGCACAGCAAACTGCACTGCAGCAGCCTGCTCAATTTAGTCAAATCCAGGATCAGCAGAGACAGATTTTAGATAAAACACATAACTTGTCTAGAGCACTAGCACCTGGTCAAGTACTGGAAATCCCTACTATACTTCAGAATTCACTCCCTGAGGCTAATTCTATCTCAAATCAGATGACCAAGGCTAATTGTCAGAACAATATTCAATACTCTCAGCAGCCCAAGCTTCAACAGCAGCAGCCTGGCTTGCTTTCTGAAATGTCTGGCCACGTGGCTCTTCTCCCTACCCCTACAACTAACCAACTTTCTACTGCTGGCAGTAGTATACTGACTGGAGCAGCTGGTGCAGGTCAATCTGTAATTACTGATGATGTTCCATCTTGCTCCACCTCACCTTCTACAAATAACTGTGCCACTGCACTTCAACCATTGATAAATTCCCGATTCCAGAGAAGCACAATAGTAGGGGATGACATGGCTCAGTCCACTGCCACACTCTTGAGTTCTAGTGCCTTAGAGACTATTTCATCAAATGCAAACCTGTTGAAAGATTTACAGCCCAAGTCAGAAGTTAAGCCTTCGCTGAATATTTCTAAAATCCAGAATCAAGGGCATTTTGGTCCTCAGACATACTTGAATGTTAGTGCTGCCCATACAGATTGTTTGGATACATCATCTTCTACGACATCAGTTTGCCTTTCTCAGAGTGATGCTCATATGCATCAGAATAACAACCCATTATCTTACAATCCGCAGACAATGTTGTTTAGAGACAATAGTCAAGATGGGGAAGTTCAGGCTGATCCTAGGAGCAATATTCCATATGCCAATAACATTGATAGCCAAATGGGAATGCCACTGAATCCAGACTCCCTTTTAACCAAAAGCACATTGGGGTTGGGGAAAGATTTGTCTAATAATTTCTCTTCAGAAGACATGCTTGGTAATTATGAAAATAACAGAGATACTCGGCAGGAACTTTCGTCTTCAATGGTTTCACAGACATTTGGAGTCCCTGATATGACCTTCAATTCAATTGATTCCACAATAGACCATAGTAACTTCTTGAATAGAGGTGCTTGGGCTCCACCACCAGCACCGCCACCACCACCTCTGCCACCAGCACAGTTTCAGCGGATGAGGACATATACCAAGGTTTATTGATGTTATTGTTATCAGAGTAATAAATGTGTCTTGAATGTTGATAGTAGATGTTGATAGTTCCAGACTCCCTTTTTTTTTTTTTTATTCTTTTGGCTTTTTTAGGTATATAAACGTGGAGCTGTGGGAAGGTCCATAGACATAGCACGGTATTCAGGTTATGAGGAGCTTAAACAGGATTTAGCTCGTAGGTTTGGCATAGAGGGACAGCTGGAGGATCGGCAAAGGATAGGCTGGAAACTTGTCTATGTAGATCATGAGAATGATGTTCTACTAGTGGGAGATGACCCTTGGGAGTAAGTCTGACCGTTCCCTTTTCTCATCATTGGCTGTCTTTTTGGCATTTGTATATTTCTTCCTGGCAAGACATATATGCTCCGTAGTTCAATAGGCATTTTGTTGACATTGGTAGCCTACCGACTAGAAAGTTTTCCTCCAGAGTTGATACATTCTCCATCGGACAAAATAACCAATAATGTCCCATTGTTCAAGTTGGTAGGCTTGAAGTGTCCCACGTCCCATTCCATGTGTCAACTTGTGCTATCAATTTCATCATGAGTGCCTAGCAATTTGCGAATATTACGTCTCTGGTTCCTGTATTTTTTGAGGCATTAAAATGATGGGAAGTAAGACGAAAGTTAAATTATTCAAGAGTTACTGCATCCTGAATTATTAGTAGTTATTCCTGAATGCCAATAAATTTATGAACAAATATAGATTGGTTGGGATTTATGTTTAAATTTAGACAAATTCCTAAAACCCTAAAATTTTCTGATTGATTGATTTGATATCTTAATTGTTTTTTATGGGTATTTTAGGGAGTTTGTGAACTGTGTCCGCTGTATAAAAATACTCTCTCCTCAAGAAGTGCAACAGATGAGCTTGGATGGAGATTTTGCCAATGGTGGCCTTCCAAATCAAGCCTGTAGCAGCTCTGACGGTGGGAATACTTGAGTGGAACTCAGCAATGCGCTAACTATTCTTCCTTATTGGTAACTTAGGTTATTTATGTGAGATACATTATTGTCCTAATTCCCAAAGGCGGTTATTATGCCGCTGGGGGACGTTTGTGTCCTGCATCAGGACTTGAAAGCGATCTTTTGCAGTTCGAAAGGAGAAATTTTTGCTCTGTTCTGAACATGCAAATGTGAAGAGCCAAACGAAGGTGGAGAAACGAACTGCTGATAGTTCTACAATTTCAATCGAATGTTTGGAGCACATGGACAAAACTAGAGGTGTTTCAAGCCATAAATATGTTGTAATATTGAAGAAGAAAAAAAAATTCTTGGCATGGTCAGAAATATTTAATTCTGTTTTGTAGAAAGAAAGGTTTAATATAACGCGATAATTTTGAATGTATAAAGTTGTAGGTTTATTCTCCCTTTTAGAGGAATTGCTTTGTAAACGCTAGGCAGCTAGATTTTGCGGAAGCTTTCACGATCTTCCATCCTTCGAGGCACCTTAGTACTAGCCAAGAGGACTGCGAAGTAGAGAAACTTCAAATGTTGTAAGGTATACTGTTGCATTGCTTGCTTGATGCGTTAGTATGAAAAATGGTGCAGACTTATTTGACTGAAAAGGAGTTAAATGAATTACAACTGATTGCGCTTTGCTTTTAGCTTATAAAATAGTATGAAGGGACGTATTTTGATGGGCTTCTGCGTTGTGGTTATTTGAAAATCGTAGCATGTGTTTGCTTTAACGTTTGAAACTTCACGTTAAACGTGATTTTTCACGTTTCAAACGTAATAGCAAACACGCACGTAGTTTGTGCTCGACACATAAAAAAGGAAACGTAGGGGCAGATTGTGCAAGAGAAGTGTAGCGTGGAAATAGAATAATGTCACTTAAAATGCGTATATTGAAATTGTTTTCGGGGAGCTGCGAAATTTCCCATTTGCAAATTGCAGTGCTGCTTTGGTTTTTAGGGCAGCCTCAATGGACAAAATGCTACACTTGCGGGTGGGGCTCTCGGTGCAACCTATGAAGGTGACAGAATCTGGCTCATTCATGAATTGGGTGAACCATTGACAATGTTGCACTTGGCTATTAACGAAGCTTTTGTTTTGGATCCCCTTTCAATAGCTCGCGTGGCATGACATCAATTATTGTAACATAACAGGGCACTGAAGTTGTCACGAGGGTGTCTAATGATATTGGTTTCCCTTATTCAGTTACTCTTCTCTATTTCGTCTTTATTTGAAGAAAATTTCAGCTTTTTGGCACATTCCATACGTGCTTGCACTTATGCGCCTTCTTATGACAAGGCACATTTGGTACTACAACTGTCAGCTACTCAGCCCTTAATGAGTCAGGAATCAGGTCTAATGTCTTCAGTGCCACGATAGTCTTTTTCACTCGGCGACTTTAAAATTGTTATACCCTGAATCATTATCTGTGGAAGAGTACTACAAAAGAGTATGGAATGAAACAAATTTCCAGAGTTTAGTTATCTGGGGCCTATCTTCCATAAAGTAATGAAGGAACACGTAACCAAGTTGCTTTGGACAACATTTATGGTTGGTTTGTATATGTTACCAACCAGCGTATTTCGCATCCTTATAAGATTGTTAAGAAAAAACTTAATTTAATCTTATAAAACTAGCATATTAGATGATAATTATCTCATATTTATATATGCTACTTATCTTTAAATAATGTGAGATTTGTAATATTAGATAGTATTATTCAATTTCCTACATAAAATGTAAATATCTCTTGATCCTTGAAAATGGCAAACTAGCGATTTGGCGAACAAAATTAGATTAATAATGAACAAATTATGATTCCATACTCCAAAAAGTTCTATAATTTAGAATTGGCTTCATTTAAGAATAAAGTATGTATCATGCCATTTTTGCTTCAATTTTTTTTCTTCTTTTCCAATCGTGTTGAAGCACCGTGCTGCTTTCTTTTCTAGTTATATTTACAGTGCGTAGAAGAAAACAATGCGTTGGAGTTTGGCAAATTGGAGAATTTGGTAATTAATTCCGTCAAGAACAGCTCTTACAAAAGATAAGCTGATAGGTGAAAAAGAGTTTTTCTAATGTTTATGACTAGAGAGAAATTCTCAAAGTGTCATGAATTTATAACTACTGTATACGCTATAAAATTCCATAAGTTTATAGGGACTGGTTAAACTAAATACAGCAAGCTTATAATCTGCTTACTTAAATTTAATTTGTATTTAGAAGAACGGATTTCCTAATTGTTCGGTAGAGGATACTCTGATACTTTGTCAAGAAACCCCCAAGGATATTCCACTTGTTGCTTTTTCAAAATTAATTATTTGTTGTTGTTATATACATTTGACAATCGATTGTCAACAATAATAATGATTAAATACTCAATTCTCCTTGCCATGTTGCATTTCTTCCCTGTTTTGGAGAGAAATAATTGTTTCCTTGTTTTTATTTCTTATCTATTTGTCCTATTTTCTAACAATCTCTCCTTCACCAAACGAATACATGGATCGCAAGATAACAACAGAAGAAATTTAGAAACAAGGCATGGGGTTTCCCATCTTTATTGAGATTGATGGCGCTTCAATTAATAGTATGTAATAAAATGAAAGTGTGATATTATTTTGTTCATGCTGCAAGAATAGGATGAGGAGATGTGAGTCTGACGGCATTGTGCACAAGTGGTTTCATGACACGAGACCTGCTCCTGTACTTGTGTTGGTGATCACCATCGTTTCTAATGTGAGTCTCACGGCATTGTGCACTACAAAACGCTTTCTCGCCTCTGCATAATTGACATGGACCATACATAAAGTAATTGAAATGAACAGGGAAGATGCACATGCAGATGGGTAATATTCCTTTGTCAGATCGGAACAGAACCACATGCGATGCAAGGGGGGACCATACTATCTCACCCTTGGCCTTGGATTGGATCACACGCAACCCAACTGTTTATACCTTTAACTGCTACCAACAACTTAGGACAACTCAATGCCTATCACCCAACATCAATAAGGATTTCTCTTTTCATCTTTTTTTCCACAAGGTGGTTGGTAAGACTTATTAATTAGAATTAATCACGAGTAGACGTAATCTTATTCAACTCATTTGTTGAAAATAACTATTAATTTTATCCAGCTAAACTACTGTTAGAATCAAAAGTGTAATAGAAGAAAAGGGTTGGTACAGATATCATTGTTGATATCACACGGAAAGTGTGCTTCTCTAAAAGTAATTGCAAATGTGAACATCAACAGGGGCAAAAGAACTAGTCACAATGGATGAAAAACTTGGAATAAATATCATAAGTATATGATTAACTTTTGCAGATATATTCCCAAACGAAAAGAATATGGCAACAAGAAGTTAATTTTGGAGATCTAGACAAATTGGTTAAAGACTAAACTTTTTCCTGCAGCTTCCAACATGCAAGGGCCAAGGCTAAATTCACCTCTATCATAATTCTACACACATCACTAATTCTTGCTTTTACACTAATAACTCCAACCGAATAAGGTTCCGTGATTTCATTCAAATAACGATTATAAAATTTTATACAAAAGTGAGACATGACATAAGTTAGCAAGAAAAGAATATATATAGTTGATGGATGAGAAAAAGAAATTAAATATGTATATATATAGTGATGTATGTGTTAGGAGCTGACCTGTAAATGAAGATGTCTACCCCATGAAGATGTTTGTCGCAAAGATTGCAGGAAGTGAGAAAATGAGGAGTGAGAGGGGAAGCATAGAAAATGCCACGAAAGTTAGCAGCAGGTTTAGCTGAGGAGACAACATTGGTCTTGCTCATGCTCATGGCTGCTACTATTCCAAGCCCAACGACACCTCTCTCCAAAATCATCCTATTCCTTGAATTAGAGTTATAATTCTCCATCCTCAATAACATTGAAATGTAAGTATTGGATGTGTTCTTGCCCAGCTAGTCTCTCACAAAGAAATTAAGAATGTGTGGAAGGAGCATTTGCATTTGGATTTCCAGAGAAGAGGGAATATCTCTTCATAAAAATCTAACTCATGCACACCATTGCCACAATTTTGGAATTCGGATATATATATATATATATATATATATATAATAACGATGTTATTGTTCTATAGACTAAAAGGCTCATCATATACTTTTATACTATAATCAGCTTTATATAATAAAATATATAATTTTCATATTTTTCTTTTAATTAAATTATAATTAACATTTATTGTGTAATAAAACTGTTGTGGGAGAGCATTATTCAAAATTGAATGTATGATGATGATACTTGCCCTTGTCACATCTCTACATATTTCAAAAAATATCAAACCTACTGACTGAAACCTGTTAATATATGAATCGATTAAGACAGACGATATTTCTGAAATATTTGTGTTTTCTACGCCATTATCTATCTTTCTATAAACAGGCAAAAACAAAACAATATTTGTGTATAAATAATTTAATTTGAAGTTAGTGATCAGTGAATAATATTATTCATTTTTTTTTTATAATTTTATACACTAACGAATCAAATTTAACTCGTTTATATATCGGTTGTTAAACTCTTTTACGAAACTATCAAAACTAAATTAGCTATTGAAATTAGAAGCTAACTACTGATCGCTATTTGCGACTGAATTTGCCATTGATAAATCCATCATATATGAATAACGATTTTTTTCTTAATTACTTAAATATATATAGGTTGTTAAACGTTTAAGAGGACAGTTAATCGAGTTGACTATTTAGCAGTCATCAATATAAATTGATTCCAAATAAATTTAACAACTGATATTTGTGATATATATAAATGATTCTATCATCAAACATTTTTTAATTTTTATCTCTATTACTGAATCAACTGCTGGTCAATTATTTGCGACGAAACAATTTTGGTCACAAAAAGACATGTTTCAAAGGAAGAAATAAGCAAATGACGTTCATATTCTCTTGTCTAATTAATTACCTTGGTTATCTACAAACTCAAACCCTCAAGCTCTCACCTCTTCCTTCATGATCTATTTACTCGGAAATTAATAAAAACCAGACAAAAACATCACTCTAACTAGTTTACTTTAAACCTTGCATCATCCTTCATGATTATTTAATGAAAACTTGAAATGATTTTGAAAATAGAAATCAAATACAATCTTAATATATGCATGGAACTCATAGTTTCAAGAAGTTATTTATATAATTAGTTTTTAAATTTGCATTACTCTCTGCACAAGTCTACTGCATCACACACGTATCCGGAGTCTAATGCATCTGAAAGTATTAAAGTACTAGTGCGTTTGCATGTAAGTCAAGAAATCAACAATTGAGAGAGAGTTGTAGTATCTTGTTATTTCCTTCAGTCAAAACATATGACCATCCGAATACAAGGTTATGTGCCAGAGCTCTTGTGTTGGTTCTGCACATCAAGTTGTGTGCTAAGCCTTGAATGACAAAATTCATCGCAGTAGGTATCCCTATGGACGTTGTGAAATACAATGTTCAAGGATTAGAGTTCTTGATTTCTTTAAAGATGTGCATGATACTCTTTACTTAGATTAGGCCTTCTGATGTTATCACATTGTTGAGTTTTCTGCCCCCGCCTCATATTCACTCCCAGAAAGGTAAAAGATGGATCAATATATTACTCCACACTTTACATTCTCCCCAGTGATGATGTGCTTGAGCGGCTTTCATATCCCGACAAGCCAGACAGTGAGTTAGATTCACTCGTGTCCTACAACACACATTCATTTGATGGGGTTAATATGATAAAAGAATAATATATGATCATTTTCCAAGTTTAGTTGAAAAGAAAAGAAGTGACTCACTTGAGTTGAGGAAGAAAAAGTGGAATTTATGGAAGAGTTACTGTTTCTGGAAGCATATGCATTACCAGCTCCACAGCTTCCAAGTCCAAACATCATCATAGGCGACATGCTTTGTTCTGCAAACGCCCTAAGCTTATTGAGTTCAGGTAATACAACTTTTCCAAGATCAGGCCTATCTTTTTTCCTCATTTCAGCACACTGCAGCGAAAGCTTGGCGAAATGCAAGGCGTGTTCAATTGGCCAGTCCTGAACAGCAGGGTCAAGCATCTCAGAAAAAGTTCCTTTCTCAATGGCCCTTCCAACATGATGAGTCAAACCCATAGGAGGCTTGGCAGTGATGATTTGAAGAAGCATGATCCCTAGGGAGTAAATATCAGATTTGATTCCAAGCATGCCAGTTTGCTGATACTCGGGGTCAATGTAGCAGAATGTTCCAGCAGTGGAAGTCATGCGATACTGTGTGACAGTGTCAGCAACTGAAGGAGGAACCAGCCTGGCCAACCCCACGTCGCTGATCTTGCTCACGTAGTTTCTGTCGAGGAGAATGTTGCCGGGTTTCAAGTCACGGTGGACAAGTGGCTCTGGCTTTGTCTGGTGAAGGAAGAGAAGGCCTGTGGCTATCTCTGCTGCAATTTGGAACCTTAGCTGCCATGGAAGAGGTGGACGTGACCCACTCCTGAACAAGCAATCATCCAAGCTTCCATTCGCCATGTATTCGTACACTAGGCAACCATATTCTGGACACGCTCCCAGCAGCAGAACCATGTTTGGATGCCTTATGCAACTCAGCACTTCAACCTGCATAAATCAAACTCATATTCATTATGCAAACTTACTACATGGTTCAGTTCAGGAGTCAGCTCATCAATCTTCATTTGACACGTAATGATCAAGAATAATATAAAAATTAGTGTGTTAGAGTGTTGAAGAAATCTTACTTCCTGCTGAAACTG